ACTATCGCGTTTCTGTATACGCGTTCATTTAGTCTCCTTTGAACAGTTTTTTCTTCTTCATTTTACTTTTAAACATTCATTTTGGTCCAGATTTTTCTTCATTACTGACGTTTCTATATATGCGTTCATCTCACTAACAAGACATACTTTGAATAATACAATAATTAACACTAGTATTTTGATGGACTTCCCTTGCCAGCCACGATACAGTGTCCCTCTTTCAATATGCATTTCTGTTGGTGTTGATGTTCGTCGGTTTATATTCTTATCATAGACTAGTTATGGGTCGACTAATGTAGTGGTGGGCAGGTTTTACGTATTCTTTGTGAAGGCGATGAACAGCAAAGCAAGAGAATGGTTTACGTAATGGGTTTGTGGTAGAGTTGATATATTACCCAATAGGTGATTTTGAGGGTTAATTATACAATAGATATTTAATATATCCGAAAACACTAGATAATAGCTTTAGAATCTTTAGAAAGTCCAGCGTGTACACAGGAAGCCAAGGCCGTCCTGCCAGCCTTCTCTCTGTGACGGGACGCGCCACAAGCTAATCATTCCGCTGTCTCAGGCGTCGTCGCCCGCCTGCACGGAGCTCGAGATCGTGGTGATGGACTGGCTGGCCAAGATGCTAGGCCTACCCGAGCACTTCCTCCACAGCTACAAGGACTCACCCGGCGGCGGCGTCATTCAGGTGAGCTTAGGCCTACGCGCCGGTTCATAGACCTTTTGGGGGAGGCGCTTCGTCTTTCTTGTGTGTTTTCTTATTTTTAGCCTTTTTCTCTTTCTCTCCATTACTTTTTCGTTTGGGATCAGGATCAGTCTAAGAGCTTTTTCTTCTTCCTTCATTGTCTCTTTTTTTCTATCTCTCTCTCCGAGTTGACGTGTGTATCTATTTATCTTTTTCCGCCGTTTCTACTTCCCGTTCTCTGCTTACGTTGATGTATTTTCCCTCTTCCCTTTTTCTTCTCCAGCCTGACTTTATTCCTCCTCCTCCTCCTTCCTTGCTTCCCTTTACACATTTTCCCTTTTTTTTTGTATTTCTTCTCGATCCTCAAATCTTCTTCCATCTAACTCCTCTTTTCTTTTCCTTTTTCTTCTCCAGCCTTACCTTATTCCTCCTCCTATTCCCTTGTTTCTTTTAGCGTATTTTCCCCTTATTCCTAGTTCTTCTCTAGCCTTTTCCTATCTACCTCTTTCCCCTTTCTTCATGTTGACGTATTTTTGCCTCTTTCCTTTATCGTCTGCGTCGTCTTCCTTCTTTTAAATATAATTCCTTTTCTTTTCCCGTTGATGTATTTTTTCCTCTTTCCCTTTTCTTCTCCAGCCTTTGACCATATTCGTCCTCCTTACTTGTCTCTCTTACCGTATTTTCCCTCTTTTTCTCCTCACCGCTATTGAGCTTATTCCTTCTCGTCCTTCTTTGTCTCGTTTATTTTATTTTTTCTCTCTTTTTCTTCTCACCATTTTTAACCTTATTCCTCATCTCCCTTCCTTGTCTCTTTTAACGCATTTTCTCTATTTCCTTCTCACCTTATTGACCTTACTCCTCCTCCTCCTCCTCCTCCTTCCTTGCCTCTCTTCTCCTTTCACGCCGACGTTACGGCAGCTGTGACGTCAAGCCATCATCGGCTGAGGAACTTAATTAAGAGTAACGTTGCTGCTCGTTTCTCTCACCCATTCTTTCCTCGTTTTCATTGCTCCCTGCTTCTTCCTTTCTGTAAATACACATTGACATACATTTTTTTTTCTTAATTATGTATTTATCTGTAGCTATGCAACTCCTACCAACTCCTCCCACGTGGCCCCTTGGGATTTTCCCCAGGGGGCCACGTGGTACTTCCTGGGGGGGGGGGGGCTTGGAGTAAGATGGAAATTTGACGTCGAATTTGAATTGAAATTTATCTCACCTAGAGGACCTACATACAATTATCTCTCATAGATCAATCAACTGGAATCTTTCCATGATATGTTCTTGTCCTATAGCTATTGACACCACTACACTATTCATAACTAATAATAATGAGTCTGAAAAGATGACAGTCACTGAACGGAGCCATAGAGATAATTTTATATTGGCCGGGGAAGCAGAATGAAAAAAAGTTGGGAACCACTGGTCTAATGTCTATGCAGTATATGCAATATAAAATATATCCATAATCAAACATAATATACAACGAGTACCGTAAACACGTAACATCAACATACAACATACAGCATGCAACATATGATATACACATCATTCAACATAGCATACAACATGTAACACACAACACACAACATAAAACATACACCATACATAGCCTTCGAAACTGTAACACTCTCCCGCGGTCTCCTTCGCTCGCTAGACCACGGCCTCAGAAGCGACGTTCGTGTGTCTGCTGGCGGCGCGGACGGAGGCCATACAGAGGTACCAGCAGGAATACCCCGATCTGGAGGACGCCGAAATTAATTCCCGTCTCGTTGCGTACTGCTCTGATCAGGTGAGTCGTGTGTGAGT